TGATACATAGTAGTGACCATGCTTTATCAGAGCTGTTTTTAATGATGTTGCTCAGAATGGTTTCCTGCCAGATGATGACTGAGAAGCTAATTTAAATAAATGGTGCCAAGTACCACAAGAGTAACAGAACTGTGCTGTTTTCTGGGATTTTGTTTTTTTACTTTTTTGTTAATGTTGTTGTTGTTTGTTTTTTTGTTTATGTTTGTTTTTTTTTAAAAATGGAGTGTGCTGGATGTCTCTACAATTGCAGAACCTGGAAAAGCTGTTGCTGCTATTGATGCATAACATATTGTCATTATTGTTCTTTTTACATATATATATATATATAAATACATATATACATATATATATGCTAATTGAAACTCAATGTGATGAATCCAAGGTGTTTCAGTGAGTGCTCACCTGTGCATGCAAATTTGATTTCATCTTTAGTAACTAGTAAAGTTATATGCTTGCCAAAAAAAAAATAAGTGATACACTGCAAGACAAATGTCACACAATTTCAATTTTATGTGTAACCTAGAAATGATGAACTTATGGGAACAGAGAGCAGAATTGTGGCTATTAGGCTTCAATGTGGGTCTTTTAACAATGGGGACACGATTGATTTAAGGATATAAAACTGCAGCTGGTCAAGAGGCATGGACTCTCTGAAGTCTTGAGGTCTACTGAGAGCATGATAAATATGGTTGATAACAATATGCTATACTTTAAAAGTTGTGAGATAGTATACTTTAAGTGTTCTCAAAACAAAAATGATGAATATGTGTGATATAATATGTTAATTGGTTTAATTTAGCCATGCCATTGTGAACATACTGTATTCTCTATCATAATTGTGCATGACCTTATTTATGAGTTAAATAAATGAATGGAAAAAAATCTCAGGCCACTGAGGCTGGAGAAATGGCTCAGCGGTTAAGAGCACTGACTGTACTTCCAGAGGTCCTGAGTTCAATTCCCAGCAACCACATGGTGGCTCACAACCACCTTGAATGATATCTGGTACCCTCTGCTAGCATGTAAGCACGAGACAGTATACATAATAAATAAATAAAATCTCAAAAAAAAAAAAACCAGTATGATCCTGCAATTCAGCAAGGTTATCTGTTTAAAAAAAAAAAAAACTCAGGTCACTTTGGCTATAAAACCAGACCTCTATCTCAAAACAAAACAAAATAGAAGAGAATTAGCAAGAATTAGCATAAATACTAATTCATCTTTACCATGTAATCTATCTTTAACTTACAGGCTAATTGATGATTTTGGTTGAATGTAACTGTGTATCCACAGAGTGTCAAACCTTGACAGCTACCCAGGTACTAGGAGCCTACACAAGAAAGGAAAATGTCACTTTCTTTTCTAAAGTAAAGAATTTTTATTTTCCAAACATTGCATTTTATGGACTTAGCAGACATTAATTTCAATATAATTGGGGAGAAAACTCTATCAAACTGACAATGCTTTCCAACTGTGTCTAATATGATATATATTTATGTTTTTACTTATTTGAGATAGGATCTCACTATGCAGCCCTGCCTTCACTATGTAGTCCTGAAGCAGTTGGCCTGATAGTAAGATGCAATGTCCTTTTGAAGAGACAGTTATAGTGCCAATTAGGTGACAGCAGCCTGGAGGGTTGGAGCAGTGTTCTCCAGAAGGCAGTATTTATGCTGTGAATCAGCATCCAATAATTATGACGTCCTTACTATTTTCATTTAGAAATTAAGCATAACATAAGGAGATATGATTGTATGTGAAGGTGACAAGGGGTGGAATTGTGATGGCTATTCTTGGTTGTTAACTTGACAATATTTGGAATAAAATAAAACCTAACCTTCTGGGTACACCTGTAAAGAATTTTTCTTGATTGGATCCTTTTGAGGTGGGAAGACCCATCTTAAACCTGGGCTACACCTTTGAGTGGTAGCCTATATAAAGGACATAAAAGAAGTAAGCTTAGCTCTTTGCCTGCTTGCTCTTACTCTCATTGGCAAGTTCATTTCTGCATTGGTATTAGATCCTATTTCTTTGGGATTCTCACACATATTGAAGACTGTACCGGGGCCCCAGACCTCAGTAGGCTCCCAACCAAACCGTAGCAAAACTGACTCCATGATGGAAGTGTCATCCAGGCTGCAAAACTCAGCATACAGACAGCACCACCTGCCAAAAATAAAAACAAAGACCTAATCCATCAAATGACCTAGCTCTGGGACAGTCTCTAAATGTACTAACCGTGCTTTTTCACCTTCCGTAGTTTTGCTTCTGCCTAACTGATCTTGTTAACTGAAGTATGTCAAATCAGGACATGGGTTTTTGTGTTTAAAAGCTCCCACTGTGAAAGGCTCAGATGTACATTGGGATCCCGAACACCCAGTGTAGTTACTGGCCAGCTAACAAAGACTTTCTGTTAGCTTAAACCCATGTCTGAGCAGTCTTCTCTGGTGCATAACCCCACACCATTTCTGGAGGTTCCATTGAGATCTCCAGAGACCAAACCTTGAGACACTGGGGAGGTCTCAGAGCCCCTTGGAGCAGGGAAGAATGTGGTGGTCTAGGGACTCCTAGGGGATGGGCAACCTGAGTTCCACATCCCCAAGATTCCCTTTGACCAATTGCTGTGTGATGCCTTGGAAGAATCTGACACCTCCATCCCAAAATAAATTAGAAAGTCACCTGGTCTGTCACTTCTGGAGGTGAGCCTGGTTAAGGTACTTTTTGTTGGGACACATAGGAAAGGTCCGACACAGCTGCTGATCCAGTGTCTGGGATCCACGTGAGACGTCACTGTAGATGAACTTTCTTGTCAGGACCATCAGCTCACAAATAATGATATGGAGATTTATTAATTATGAATGTTTAGCCTATAGCTTAGGTTTGTCCCACTAACTCATAACTTAAATGAACCCATTTCTATTCATCCAAGTTGCCAAGTGACTAATGGCTTTTACCTCTCCTCCTACATGTTTTGCTCTCTCTGTAACCAGCTGGCAATCCTCCTTTTTCCTTCCCTGAGACCCCTCTGTCCTAAGAAGACCTGTCTAACCTCTTCTAGTCTAGCCATTAGCCATTCAGCTCTTTATTAAACCAATAATAGTGACATAGCTTCACACAGTTTAAAGGAATATTCTGCAACACATCACTGGATCCTTCTGTCTGTTTGGGTGTATGAAGGTATGGTGGCCACACCTGCTTCTCTCTCTGTCTTTCTCTCTGTCTCTGTCTCTGTCTCTCTCTCTGTGTGTGTGTGTGTGTGTGTGTGTATGTGTGTGTTTGTCTCTCTTGGTGTGTGAGTGTGTGTTTATCTCTAGTGTGAGACACTCCCCCACCCCACAGCATAAGACCTGTGTTCCCTCCTGTTGGGGACCCAAATCTTTTGGCCCTGCCAGATTGCCTAGAGAACCTCCCCTTAAAAAGTTCTGTTTGCTCCGCTTGCTGAGTACTTACTTGTTTCATCACTTGACTCTTGCTCATGGTCAGGGTTGGTCCTGGTCCCCAGGTGGAAGTGATGAAGGGGCAGGCCTGTCATCCTGAGGATACCCTGATATCTAAGCAAACAGGGAGGAGAAACAGATCTCCAAGATTCCCAAGGTGTAAATTGCCTCCTAAAAAGCCCAAAGGAAGGGGAACAGTTCCCTGGGCTGAGCCCAAAGGAAAAAAGGAAGTTCCACTCCTTCCTCTTTTATGTTTTATATCTCCATTTCAACCAGTAATCTGCATAATTGAACAACTCAAAACCCACCTTTCTCAAAACACCCCCAGGCTGGGCAGGAGGATCACTGCCAGACAATGCAGCATGGCTGCTTTGTCCTATTGATTTTCCCTATTGTCCAATACAAACCAAGGAGACAATTTTTACTAGGTTCCTTTTAGAAGGATTAAAGACAGCTGCTAAAAAGATTTCCTTTGTAACCCAGTTGGGCCCCAGATATTTAAAAGGTTACAAAAGTTTAAAAATTCAAAGTAATAAGTAGATCTCAGTTGCCTGAGGTAGCTCAAAAGGTTTTTAGCAACTTAGACCTGATTAGGACAAGACCTTTGCATAAATTGAAGACACTGTCACCTTCTCTGATGATGCAACACAGTTAGCCTTACAGATACCCAGAAAAATTTTGGTGTCTTACCCTCTGTCAGAAGAATATCTGTTGTAGAATAATCTTTTTGAACACTGTCAAGATGTGTCACTTGGATTGTTTTAATAAAAAGCTGAACAGCCAATAATTAGGCAGGATTTCTGCGGCAGAGAAGAGGCTGGGAAGAAGGATGAGGACACCAGGAAGACGTACAGCAAGCAGGATGGGCACTATGGGGATGAGGTAATAAAGCCATGAGGTAGAAAGTTAATTCAAGTTATAAGAGCTAGTCAGAAACAAGCCTAATCTATCAGCCAAACTTTCACAATTAATAATAAGTCTTGGTGTTGTAATTAGGGAGTTTGAGGGTGGGACAGAGAAAGACTAGCTACAGGTATCTCCTAGCTGAAAGTCCTGCCTCCAATCAAAAGGTACATTTGACTATATCTCAAATTTATAACAAAGAGTCTTGGGGGTACGGGCATAAACCAACCCTCCAGGACTGGCCAAACACCAAGTTCCTATAATTGTTCAACCACCAGTTCAGCTACTACTGTCTAGATTAAACAATACCCAGTGTCCCTGGACACAAAAGGGGAAATTGCAGTCCACATTGCCTGGCAGAGGTGAGTCAACCCATCTTTGCTTTTAAATGGGCAGACCCAGTGGGAGGTTACAGTGGGCAACATGCTTGGACCAGGTTTCCCAGGTTTTAAATACATTAAATGCAGACCTCTTGCCCTTCTGTCAGATGTTTCCTGGAAAAATAGAATATAAAAGGGCCACTGAGAGACTGCTGCAAGAATTACAGACCTTGGGCTACAAAATGTAAGTTAAGGAAGCCCCACTTTGTGGAAGGCTACCTCTCTTGGCTACCAGCTGAGGGGAGGCAAAAGGAGCCTGTCTCAGAGTAGGATTGCTGCCATCCTTCAGATCCCAACTCCAAAGTCTGAGAGATAGCTTCAAGAGCTCCTAGGTACAGCTGGCTATTGCTGCCTCTGGATACCAGAGTTTGTGGAAATAGCAAGGCCTCTATACACCAGCTCAGAGGGGGCACTGAGCCGCTAATCTGTTCTGAGACTAAACAAAGGCATTTGAGGCTTGAAAAACAGCTCTGACTTTGGCTCCAGTCCTAGCACTCCAGATGTTTCAAAACCTTTTCATCTCTGTCCACAAGAAAAGACATTACAAAAGGGGTTTTAACCCAAACTTTGGGTCCATGGAAACACCATTTACATACCTGTTCAAATGATTGGACCCTGTAGTCACAGGATGCCCCACTTGTCTAGGAGCTGTGACAGCTACTGCTAGTAAAATAAAAAAAGAAGCAAGCAAGCAAACAAAAACAATTTAACTCTGGGTCAAGATCATATACTCACAGCATCCCATGACACGGTTGAGGTCCTTCTCTGAGGAGTTCCAATGCTGGCTGGGTGTCTAATGACTCTGTGACCCATCCTTGAGTCTGGTTTGAGAACCCCCCCCCCACACACACACACCACCAATCCTGCTGCCCTCTTCCCTGATGACAAACTGCAGGTACTCATCCCTAACTGTCAGATGAAAGATGAGAACAGGTACATGGGAGCTGCAGCAGTTACTTTAACTGAATTGATTTGGGCCCAAGACAGGTACCTCAGCCCAGAGAGAACTGACTGATCTGCCCCATGCTCTCAGCTGGGGAAAAGGAAAGCCCAATACCACATACATGGATCGTCACTATGTTTTTACTACCACACATGTTCATATATGATCTATAGAAAACAAGGGTTTCTCACTGCTGGGAAACACAATACTAGAAAATATTGGCCTTCCTAGAGGCTATTTGGCTTCCCCTACAAATTGCTGTCATCCACTGCCAGCCCACTGACCTGGCTGCTCAACAAAGTATTGATGACAAACTTCTGATAACATACCCTTGACTCAGTGCTGCCTGAGATTCCATGGTAAAGAAGAAATGGAGAGCTCAAACCCACAGGATGATGAAGGATACCAAAGGGAAAGATCATTCTCCCAAAATCAACAGGCAGGACTCTGATAACTGACTTTCACCAGACTATTCATCTAAGGTCCACGAAAGTTTCTGAGTTGCTCAAATCAAGGTATGTTTTACCTAGACTGGACAACCTAGTGTGGGACACCTCAGCCAGATGCCAGGTTTGTGCTCAAGTAAATCCAAAACAGAGAGCCCTAGTCTGTAGTCACACTAGGTAATACCTTACCTGTATCTGAGGACAGTGGGGGGTTAGACCATGACCCTGTATTCATACCCAAAGTGCAAAACATAAGACTCAGGAAGGGCAGGGAGTGGAAGAGCTCAGGACCCAATGAAACCTTCATGTCAATAGGATCATAGTCCAGAGATGGTCCATTTGGCAGCAGCAACTGTGGCTTCTGCTTTCTTGACCTGGGTGTAGTGGATCCATTGTGTGATGCCAGTGTGATGCCTCACTGCCATAGGAGTGGAGAGAATCACCTCGTAGGGCCCTTTCCAGGCTAGTTTAAGTGCCCACTTGACACCGATGGTATCACTGAACTTGAACAAGGGGAAACTTGTGGTGGACTCACAGATCAGCTGGGTCCCTAATGCAGTCCAATGAATTGCCTGTGTGTAGGACTGGAGGATGCATAGTGACTTGTGAAAGGAATGATTAGAGAGTTCTGCCAGTTGCCAGTTTCTGAGCCTGGGAAGCAGTGAGGGAGGTCTTCCAAACTAATCTCACGGAGGGTAAATCTCTCCGTATATAGGGTGCAGCAGGCTGAAGCAAAGCAAAGGATGGAAGTCTATCCATCCTTCTCTGGACTCTAATGATAGAGTTTTGTTAGACTTTGTTTTAATGTCTTGCTTATTCTTTTTAACCTGCCCAGAACTCTCAAGTCTGTATATACATCTAGAGCTTTGGCCATTAATTCAGAGGATTTGACTATGAAAGCTGGGGCATTGTTGGATCTCATTTCTAGGAGGAGGTCAAATCAGGAGACCAGTTCCTGGAGAGTTGAAGCTATTTGAGCAGTTTCAGTCCAGGTGGGGAACACTTCTACCCACCTAAAAAAGATATCTATAAAAAATGGCAAATATTTTATCTCCCCCAGCAGGTCAGGTCTTGTATGAAGTCAGTTTCTGCAGAGTTTATTGGGGTGTTGGCTTCTCATTTGGACCCTACCCACTGTATTCAGGCCTGGACTGGAAACTGAGGAAGACAGATACAGTGAAGGTATTATGTACTGTGACTATAGACCAGAAATCCGTATCTTGACCTTTATTTGCTGAGGCCCAAGTATCTGGTTGTATGAAGAAAGGAACAATGTGAAGGTATATCTTTTTGAAACAGGAATACAGAGTTTACAATTCTATGTATGCCCTACAGTTGGGCCCCCTAGTTTCTAGAAACCAGGGGCTTTCCACTGAAAAACCTGGGATCATATAACTGAGGCTATCAGAAAAATTCATTTAAAAAGATTGGGAAACAGGGAAAACCTGGGGAATCAGACTCCATGCCACAGGAAGGGACCCTAGAGATAGAGTTCATCACTCACAGCCAGAAATCAGGGAGAATTGCTGGTTATGTTTAGACTGTACTACAGAGGGATAAGAACTAACCAGACTGTCAGCCCATTGACTGACAACTCACTATAATGGGGACAGCTCAGATTAATGTTTGAGAACTTACAAGGAGATGAAACTTATCTAATATCCCAAACCTTTAACCTAGGTACTTCCCTTATTCTGATGCCTGCTACTCTGTATTATGAGTTAATTCATCTGGATAACAGCAATACTACTGAGCCCCTGAGACTACATGATGGGTGTGTACCAATAGTTTTACTAAATGTGCCTCTTCTGATGCTTTCCAAACTAGACAGGTTGACCTGACCTAGAGATATTAAAACAACAGTTGAGTCCCTTGCAGGAACGATCATACAAAATTGGAGGAGAGCCTTAGACTTATTTCTCATGAGTTAAGGGGGACTATATGGCTCAGGGGAAAACCTGTTGTTTCTATGCCAATCAATCAGAAGTAATTAGAAAAAATCTGTCACGGCTGGAGAAAACCAAAAAAGAGATTGCCTTCATTGGAGTTTCTATTGCTCTGAAGGGACACCATAAACACAGCAACTCTTATAAAGGAAAACATGCAACTGAGGTTAGCTCACAGTTCAGAGGTTTAGTCCATTTAATTCATAGTGGGTGGCAGAGGTGATGCTGGAGAAGGAGATGAGAGTTCTACATCTTGACTGGCAGGCAACTGGAAGTGAACTGTAACACTGGGCATAGCTTAAGCATAGGAGACCTCAAAGCCAACCCTCACAATGACACACTTCCTCCAGAAAGGCCACACCTACTCCAACAAGGCCACACCTCCTAATAGTACCACTCCCTTTGGAGGCCATCTTTCAAACCACCACAGACATTAACCATACAATTGGTACCAGTCTATCGTCTCTTGGTCCCCTTGCTAACTACTCTGATATCAGCACTAGCTGGGCCTTTAATTGTCATTCTGATTGGATTAGTAGGCCTTGCATCTTAATCTATTTGGCCAATTATATGTTTAATAAAATTAATGGTCTTTAGGGTCAACTCAAACTCTTTAGAGCAGGATAACTCCCATGACTTAACTCATTCACTAAGATCAATGGGGAATATAACAGGACCCCAGACTTAGAAGGCCCCCAGACCTTAGCACAACTGACTCCATGATGAAAAGGTTATTCGGGCCATAAAACTCAGCACATAGATAGCACCACCTGTCAAAATGAAAACAAAGACCTAATTCATCAAAGTCCATAGATCTGGGAAAGTCTCTAAATGTACTAACCTTACTTTTTGGCTTCTGTAGTTCTGCTTCTGGCTATTCTTCTTGTTAAATGAACTATGTCAACCCAAGACATAGTTTTTGTGCTTAAAAGTTACCCTGAGATAGGGTTGGGGCTACTCTGGGATTCCCAAACACTCAGTGTAGTTGCAAGCTAGCTAACAGATTTTCTATTGGCTTAAACCCATGTTCAAGCAGCCTTCACTTATAGCTACCTCCAACAAAGACCAGCTAAGACATTCATTCTAAGACTTTTCACCAAGAGAAAGCCATTGTTGGAGTAATCAGACCAAAAATTGTAAGCCACTATAAGAAATCACACATACCACACAATGAATATACATAAATACATTTGTTCTGTTTCTCTAGAGAACCCTGACTAATATAGGCCACTTTAGCTATAAAGCCAGATCTCAATCTCAAAACAAAGAAAAAAGTGAATTAATAAGCAGTAGCACAAATAGTAATTCATCTTAACCATGTAATACAATTTGCAGCTTTAATTTCCAGGCTAATTGATGTTTTAGGTTGAACACAACTGTCTATTCAATATGTGACAAATCTTGAAGTTACCTAAGTACAAGGATCCTATATAAGAAAAGTGTCAAATTTCATTTCTAAAGTTAAGAATTTATATTTTTCTAGACTTTGGGTTTTAGGGACTTAGAAGATATCAAGTTCAATAAATTTTGGGGGGGGCAAGTCAGACTGGGAATTTTTCTTAAGTGTTCTTAATCTGGTATTTATTTATTTGAGACAGGATCTCACTATGCATCCCTTGCTCACCTGGAACTCATCACACAGACCAGCGTGGCCTTGAACTCACAGATACTCACCTGCCTATCTGCATTATGAGTGCTGGTATTAAAGGTGTGCACCACTATGCGCTACCTAACTAGATACCTAAAATAAGTCAGATTTTTTCTTCTTCTTTGTAACAAGCAATCAGACCTTAGAAGGCCTCCAAACCTTAGCACAACTGACTCCATGATGGAAGTACCCTTCAAGCTGTAAAACTGAACATGTAGACAGTACCACCTGCAAAATTGAAAACAAAGGCTTAATTCATCAAAGTGTATTGTTCTGGGACAGTCTCCAAAAGTACTAACCTTGAATTTTGGCTTCTGTAGTTCCACTTCTGGCTAACTGTTCATGTTAACTAAGGTATGTCAACCCAGAATACTGTTTTTGTGCTTAAAAGCTCACCCTGAAAAAGGTTTGGGGCCACAGTGGCGTCCTGAACACTCAGTGTAGTCACAGACCTGATAAAACACTTTCTGTTGACTTAAACCCATGTCTGAGCAGTTTTCTCTGGTGCATACCCCACAACATTTTTTTTTTCAGACAGCGTTTCTCTATGTAGCTTTGGAGTCTGTCCTAGAACTCACTCTGTAGACCAGGCTGCCCTCGGACTCACAGAGATCCACCTGCTTCGGCCTCCCGAGTGCTGGGATTAAAGGCATGCACCACCACCGCCCGGCTTCCCACAACATTCTTAAAGGCTGGTTTTTCTTCTAGATGGTAGCTACCATTTTGGCTTTCCACACAGAGAATTTTACACTGGTGCTTATTCCATGGCCACATCCCTTATGTACTTAATAAGTATCTCAGTGGATGGGGCTCAGACATCACTTTTTCTGTGATGTCCCACTGAAGATTATGATAAGTCAAAGCACTCTTTTTATATTGTTGTTATTTTGACATAATCTGATTTTATATTATATTTTGTTATCATTCAAATATATATCAGTTATCACATGTTTTATAAAGAACTTTTCATTCTAACATTACTTTTTGCTATTTAAATGTTATTCTAAAGTAATCCCTCCATTATTGTAATGGAGAAAAGCATCATTTCATGGTTTCTTTGTTCACTGCCAGTATTTTTATCCCAGGGTTCTCCCTTTCTTACTTGGTATGAGAGGAAGAAACAGGGCCTCACAGAGGAGATGCATCCATGATTCTGTTGTCTTAGTAACGGCTCTGCTTCTCATCTCTACTGAGTGATTCAGCCCAGGCAGGGACTTTGTGCTTGGCAACCAGGAACAGGTAATAGCCTACCTTCCTCTTTGTTGTTCATTGCTAAGAAGCTGAGACAAAAAGATAATGATGGTTGCCAGGGAAACCAAAGCTGAGTCGTTCAAAGCCATGAGGGAGAAAATGTCAAGTATAACACAAAATGGATGGCAGATCCATTTTCATCCACCCACAATCATGGACTGAGACTCTTATGTGTTCATTAGAAGGGTTTTGTTGTGTACACATAAGGGATTCTTCCTGACATAATGAATGGTCAGAGAAAGTGACACAGGAAAAGCAGAGAACCCAGACAGTAATGGGAGAAATATAATTTTTAGAAATCATATATTTCCTTTTAAGACTCATTTTGATATCCACATTCTAATTTAACCCATATTTATATAGAATTATCAAGCAAGCCTTACCTGAAAGAAAATACAGATTCTTCTTTTCTTTTTGTTTATTAATAATTTCCATTAGGACATATTTGAGCCCCAGGAACCTATGACGCTTTCTGGTAGCTCTGCCTTTATTATAAAAGTGGCACCTCCTGTACAAGATGCAGGCCAGCATCAGTTTAAAATTTGGTGTAGAAAGCCAAAATGGCAGCTACCATGCACACACACACACACACACACACACACACACACACACACACACACACACAAATGTGCAGCATTATAAAAAAATCACAGAAATCAATCTGCACATCCCAGATGTCAGGAACACAGAGTCTCTACCATAAATTGGGAAAGCATGCATAAGAATGAAATTAAGGGAGCAGGAAGATTGATTCAGGGGAAGAATAGAACAGAGCAAGAAAAGAGATACCATAATAGAGGGAGCCATTACAGGTTTAAAGAGAAATCTGGCACTAGGGAAATATCCAGAGATCTACAAGGATGACACCAACTAACAATCTAAGCAATAGTGGAGAGGCTACCTTAAATGCCCTTCCCCATAATGAAATTGAATACTACCTTATATGCCATTTTAGAGCCTTCACCAGTAGCTGATGGAAGCAGAAGCAGAGGCAGACACCCACAGCTAAACATTGAGCTGAACTCCTGGAATCCAATTGCAGAGAGGGAGGTGTGATGAGCAAAGAGGTCAAGACCAGGCTAGAGAAACCCACAGAAACAGCTGACCTGAACAAGGGGGAGCTCATGGACTCCAGACTGGTAGCTGGGAAACCAGCATAGAACTGATCCAGACTCCCTGAACATGGGTGTCAGTGAGGAGGACTGGGCAATCTACGGGGCCCCTGGTAGTGGATCAGTATTTATCCCTAGTATATGAATGGACTTTGGGAGCCCACTCCACATAGAGGGATACTCTCTCAGCCTAGACACATGGGGGAGGGCCTATGCCCTGCTCCAAATGATATGACAGACTTTAAAGATCCCCCATGGAAGGCCTCACCCTCCCTGGGGAGATGGAACTGGGATTGACATGTGAAAGTAGCTTGTTTCTAGTTTAAATTAAAAAATGAAATTAAAGTATCTTCCCACCCTGTACACAAAAACCAACTCAAAATCAATTAAAGACTTATACTTAGTACCTGGTACTAATAAAAGAAAACATACAGAGAAGCTTCTGGACATTGGTAATGTCAGATTTTTTGATGTGTCCCCCAAGTCACTGGCAACAGAAGCAAAAATAAACAAGCGAAATTACCAAATCGAAGAGTTTCTGAATAACAAACAATCAACATGGTGCGAAAAAAAAGTCTACATTACCAGAGAAAACGTGGCAGAGCAAAGTTGCTTACTTCATAACAACCAGGTTGTAGGGGTGAGGGACAGGGCTGGGACAGGGGCAGGGCAGGGGCAGGGCAAGGGAAGGTCGGAAGCAGGGAAGAAGGGTATGCCCTCAGAAACATACTTTGTCCAAATATACCCAGCTCCTAATAATACCATCATAGTATAAACCCAAGCAATTATTTATTGACTAGGTTAGAGCACTCAGTAACCCATCACTGTCTCAGAGTCCATCAGAAATGTTCTTAGAGAATGTTTGTCATATATCATATACCACAGTGTCAATACCCTAAGTATGTAAGGGATTTAGACAACTCAGTTGTGATGAAAAGAACACAATTAAAAGTGAGCAGAGGGGCCTGAAGGTGCATCAATAGCTCAGTGACAGATCACTTACTTAGCATGTATGAAGCCTAGTTCAATCCCCAGTGCAGAAAAAAATGAAGGCAAAAGATTTGAAAAATCAATATTTTTCCAGAGAAGACTGTTAGGGTTTGAATGTGAAATATCCCCCAACAGACTCCTGTGTTTACACACTTAATCCCCAGCTAGTGATATTTGGGTTGTGGAAACTTTAGAAGGCAGGACCTTGCTGGAGGAAGTGGTTCACTGGGGATCAGGTCTTCAGTGTTATAAGCCTTGCCTAAGCATCTCATTGTCTGTCTGTCTGTCTGTCTGTCTGTCTGTCTCTCCTGTCCCCTTCCCCTCCTCCCCTTCCTTCCTAGTATACTGGGCTATAAACACACAGTCTGCCACCCCTGCCACCATGGTCACAAAACCATTCCTGCAGTCATGTCTTCCCTCCAGTAATGGACTACATCTTCAAACTGTGAGCCAAAGAAGGTAAGTTCTTCCTGTAACTTATATCTTCTCAGCAATTTGCCAACAACAATGAGAAAAGTAAAACAAAGACCTACAGATCGTCAGTGTGTATGAAGATGTGCTTAACAGCATTAATAATTGGGGGGAAAACAAATGAAAGCTACAGTGAGACATAGATTCATATTTGTTAGAAAGACCATGGTTTAAAAAAAAAAGACAGTAGAACAAGTGTTGGGGAGGATTAGAAGAAAGTGAACTCTTGCATAGTGATTCTGGGAATGTCCACTAGCATAGTCATTATGGGAAACAGTATGGGGTTTCCTCAAAAGTTTTGAAGTAGCTGGACCCCATAGTCCAGGCCTGTCATCCTAAATACTGGGAAAAAGACCACAGGTTCAAAGGAAGCCTGGATAAGTTAGTGAGATACTATACAAAATAACAACACAGTGGTCTAAGGACATACCTCTGGGTTGAACACTTGCCTAACATGTGAGGCCTTAAGTTCAATGCAAATATATGCATATAACCATCCAGAAGTATGCTGTAAGGGGGATGCCTCTGAGGGCTATGTCTTGCCATGTGGTGAGTTTCTCTGCTCTTCCATGCTCCTCTGCTATGATGCTTTAGCTTACCACAGCCTCTCAACAATGCAGACCAAGCCACAGACTCAAGTCTCTCAAACTGGGAGCCAAACTAAATCTCTCTTTCAACTGTTTCTCTCTGGTGCTTCTCAGTGATGAAAAGTCTAACACACACCTGATGTGTGGCATTTTGTTATAGCATCTTTATCAGGTTAATATACTACACCAGTATCCTTGATTTTTATCCACATTAACTTATGAATCCTATAGGCATTCAGTAACCCCCCCATCCAGTGATGAAAGGGTTGAATGAAGAATTGAGCATGCAACTGCTGGGTCCAGGTCAGTTAATTTATACATGTGTCCCATATACTGCATAAGTATATCTCTCTCAACAACAGACTACACATGTGATGGTATTTCATCTGGTGATGCCACAGTACACTATAGGATGTTTACATAGTGAAGAAATCACCAAACAGCACACTTTCCAAAACATATTCCTTTTGTTAAACATAGCATCACTATATAAAGGTTTTTTTTTATAAAGGACTGAGATACGTGAAGGCCTCCCTAGTGTTTTAGGTAAAACTTGTAAAAAGTATCAATAAAATGTCTTAAGATTAACCCTTCAGTTCTTACTACAAGAGGGAGGTAGAGGAACTGGACAGGCAGACATGGTAAGGCGTGGTTTCAAAGCACACACTTCAGAAATGGAAAGTCCTGGGTTTGGAGCTTCTCATTTGCAGGTGGTACCTCATCTGTAAATTGAGGAAGATAAATATCTTAATCAGACAATTTCTGCATGGAAGTTGACCTTAACCCATGAAAATTAATTTCACTACCAGAATTTCCTTCAAACTACAAAGAGGTATGGTAAGTAAAAGTATCAGAGAGGTCTTAGCATCAATAACAATTCTGTTTACTCTTGCTATTCACAAGAAGTAAGCCTCAGAGAATTAAGCAATTTCCTTTGCAAGAGCCAACTTAGTTAAGATATCTAGCTTATTTCATAATTATAGTATTTATTAGGTTTTGGTTAAATTAGAAATGAAGAAGAGGAGCGCAAGATGAGATGTGAGACTAAGAGAATACATTAACCAGTTTATTATAGGCCTGGCAGAGTAGAGACACTAAGAGAGAAGAGGAACAGGGTTAATGGCTGACCGCCATGGCCGGTCACCATAGAGAGGCAGAGAGAGCATAAGAGAAGAGGCAGAGAGAAGAGAAGAGGGGCAAAGTGAGAGTGAAGAAGATGCAGACAGAAGAGAGCTTAAGTGGGCAGGGGTCTGCCTTTTTTAATTTAAATTAGAAACAAGCTTGATTCACATGTCAATCCCAGCTCCCTCTCCCTCCCCTCGCCCCGCATCCCTCACCAACATCCTCCCTCCACTACCCAGGGAGGGTGATGCCCTCTATGGGGGAATCACCAAAATCTGTCATATCATCTTGAGCAGGTGAAACCCACAGAAACAGCTGACTTTCTGTGTGTCTTTTTTTCTTTTCCTTTTTCTGTTTAATTTTTACAAAATTATAATTTCACATGTCAACCCCTTCTCCCTCTCCCCCCCAGGGGTCTGCCTTTTAAATGGGTCCTCTACACCTGCATGCAGACTTAGTTCCCATGGAACCCTGGGCTGACCAGGGTACTGCCTGAGTGGATTCTGCCAGGTAACAGGGGCAGGCCAGGGTAATGTCCGAACCTTTCAATATCCATATAAAATAATGCAAATTCTAGCGAAGCCAGTGGCACACAATACATTCTCATCACTATAAGCTCATACCCTTGACACACAGACACAGACACACACACAGACACAGACACACACACAGATACACAGAGACACATGCAAACACAGACACACACACAGACACAGACAACACACACAGATACACACATATACACAGAAACACATGGACACAGATACACACACACACACACACACACACACACACACACACACACACACACACACCCCTTCTCCAATCTAAGCTTTTTGTTTACTAGGGCAAGTCTCCCAATCTTAGAAGAGACTGTAGTCAGATATGAACATACCTTGTTTGCCTGAAACATTAAAGCAGGCTTCACATTAATTTTCAAATTCCCCAGAAATCACATTATTAGAACAAATGTGACATAAGCATGAGTTTTCTGAAGTCCTTTCAGAGTTTATAAAGGATAGGTTTGTCAAAATTGAGCACTGTTTCCCATACAGACAATGTTTATATCAGAAAGTAGCTGCCATATATTATTTTCCCATCAGGAGAATTTTAAGGCTCTGGCTGACTACCTCTTTTGGTCTTTTTTAATAAAAACTCCTAACAGATATTCAACCATGTAGAAAAATATAGATACAGGTCTAAAGCTCTGTATAAAACAGTCAAACGCGGAAAGAAAAAAAAAAAAACCCAGCTTTAATGGCCGTCAGCAGTCTGGAGGGTGCAGTCACTATTTGTTACACTAGGGGCAGCAGAGTATAAGAAATGGCAAAGTATTTCAGCTTTTCCATTACATTTGCATAGAGCTCTGCTATCTGGCCAAATACTAATACCTATTGATTAGATATTTGAAAGATCAATATTTTGGTTACATTTTCTCATTTTAAGAGGATTTCTTGGGGACTGTTTTGGTGTGGGGGGTTCATATCTTTGTTGTTTTTCAGGCTAGAAGAAATTATGGTCCCGCCCACCCTTAGCTCCTTCCCCTCTAGCTGACTCCATGATGAGACAGTCTAATTAGGGTTTCACCAGACTGAGGCATGGGGCACAATGAGAGAGTAACAGTGTGGGGCCAGCAGGAAGAATAGAAGGCACCAGGGGTAGAATTCAAGGTCTTTCTGAAGAGTCCCAAATAACCCTGTAGGAAAATCTGGTCTTATCGTTTATGTATTTGTGAGATGAGCGTGTGCTCAAGTGCACGTCCTCACTCATGAAAAATAATGTCTACATGCTTAATGCCCATCCTCCACAAGAGCTTGTATTCTGAATAGCAATTTTCTTTATCTCAAAGTTAGCCAATCAAACACACTCAGCTTCAGTTTCCTTGGTAACCGACCTCTGCTTCCTGTCTAGACTTATGGTCATAAGAGAGAAAAGGAAAAATACAGGACTAGAGCGAGCAGGCTAGAAAATGTCATCTCTTCTATGCCTCCCCCACTTCTTACTGCAGTCTATTTCTCTGCCATTGTTATCTCCCATTCCACCCCCACCATAAAAAAATCCACAAAGGCTGCTGGTGTGGTCTAGTGAGATGATGCTCACCTATATGTATCTTTGCATCATCTCTGCATTGTCCTAACCAATCAAATCCTCAGCAGAACAGATGTCTTTCTTTGTATCCCAACCTGCCTCTCTTTGTTTCTGAAATATATTATTCTTATATTTAGTTGCAAGCATGATCCACCATCTTTTTTTCCCTCTCCTGACTCTGCCCTTTCTGTCTTACTGAAATAAATAAGAGCAAGAAGAGACATGACCCACAGAAGAGACAGAGACAGCTAATACTCACGGATCCCTGGGTGGTAGCTTTCTAAAAGGCATGCTTTGGGGACTCCCACTGCTTCTTTCTCATTGAACTTGAAGGCTACACACACATACATCCTCAGTCTGGTGAAATCCTAATTAGACTGTCTCATCATGGAGTCAGCTGGAGGGGAAGGAGCTAAGGGTGGGTGGGACCATAATTTCTTCCAGCCTTAAAAACAACAAAGATATGACCCCCCACACCAAAACAGACCCCAAGAAATCCTCTTAAAATGAGAAAATGTAACCAAATTATTGTTCAAATGTCTAATTAATAGGTATTTGTATTTCTGTTTGGTCAGCTAGCCCAACTGTCATCAGAGAGGCTTCCCCGAGCAGGAAACAGAAGCAGAAACCCACAGTCAAACATTAGGCAGATCGGGGAATCCTGCAGAAGGTAGGGGGAGAGAAGGATTGTAGAAGCCAGTAGTTTCAAAGGCATCATAAGAAAATCCACAGTATCAACTGGCGTAGGCTCATAGGGGCTCACACAGACTGAATTAACAACCAGGGAGACTGCATGGGACTGACCCAGGCCCTCTGCATATATGCTATAGTTGTATAACGTTTTCTTCGTGTGACATTTCTAACAGTGAGAGCAAGGGACTGTCTATGACTGTGTTGCCTGCTTTTGAGACGCATTCCTCCTACTGGGTTGCCTCACCCAGCCTTAAGAGAAAAGGAGGTGCCTAGTCTCATTGCAACTTGATATACCACGGCTGGCTGATATATCCATGGGAGGCTAGCCTATATTTGAAGAGAAACAGTGGAAGAGGAGTGGATGGGGTGGGGTTAGGGGGGGGGGGGGGGGGGGGAGAGGGGAGGTGGTGGCAGAGGAACTGGGAAGAGGAGAGGAAGGGGAAACTTGGATTGGGACATAAAAATAAAAAGTCAACAAGCAAAAAAGACTACATAAGGAGAACTTGTCTCAAAAAAAAAAAAAAAAAAACAACAACAAAAGAAAAGAAAGAGAAGAGACAAGTTAAGCTGTCAGGGCTGGATAAAGCCCTTTGTCCACAGGCTTCAGGATTCCAGTGTAGATCCCAAGGACTTAAGCAAAACCTGAGCAGTCCTTGTGGCTGCCTGTATTATCAACACTTGGGAGGCTGAGATAGGATTCCCAGGGCAAGCCAGACTAACTAACTTGGAGAACTGCAGTTTCAGTCCTCAGGTTGTGCTTCTGTAAATAAAGTAGAGAGCAAGAGCAATGGAGGAAGACAGCTAATGTGAACTTCAGGCCTCCACATTTGTTGCACGAATCTTTCTGGAATAAGCACTCCAACACCAACGAGAGAGGAAGAGAGGAGGTGTCACCAGTGGACCAAAGCCAGGATACCTCTTGAAAGGCTTTGATGCTGGGTCCTTTATCTGTTCTCATTTTCTACTCCAAAATGACAAGGTGGGGCAGGCAAGCAAGAGTTTACAGAAGCATATGTTACAGTCAGCAAAACCTATTATCTTAGCTATTTCTCTAGGTCATTCTGTTCCAGGTAGCAAGTGCCTCATATTTCCTAACCAGATAGCATAAGCAGTATTTAAATAAATCATGAAATAAATCAATAAATCAGTATCTAATAATTGGTCTTTTTAACATATTCTATTTCACATGCACACACATATGAATATACATACACATGAAACATACAAAAACAATAAAATACTCAAGATTTTCAAGGACACAAGGTAATGACTTCTGTGTTCCTCTGGAGGAAGCTCTTTTTTTCACTTCTTTTTGAGATTATAGTTTTATCATTTCTCCCTTCTCTTTTTTCCCTCCAAACCCTCTCAAATACCCCCCTTGCTCTTTCAAATTCATGGCCTCTTTTTTCATTAATTGTCATCATGTGCATACATGCAATATATGTGGAGACTATTACTGACAGCCACAACTGATCAAAAAGGCAGAGAGATTGTGTCGTGGCCAGTCCCATTTGATATACATCTATAGCACACCTTGTGCACCAAAATCCTGCACAAGGAAAAAGAATATCCAACAGACAAATTAGGAATGGCCTACAGAATGCTGAATTCCACACTAGCTATACCATGCAAATGGTAGAAACTGCTGGGACTCAAGTCTATTCTCTACCAAACAATTCATAATCGAGAAAAGGTCTATAAATGAGCAAGAGCATTTAATCTTGCAAAACATAAAGGAACTATCAAAGGAGTCTTATCTTACAAACATAGTATCTGGGGGGAGGGCACTCTTACCTGAGGATCAAACTTCATAAACCTCAGAAACCTCATAGGTATGAAGACTTTCTGAGCAGCATCTGTTGCACTAAAAGGCCCCAGGCCTTGATTAAACATCAGCAATCTGTAACAGAAAAACTGTGAACTACATGTATGTGGTGGGCCTTAATCAGAAGGGTGAGCTTAGTAATATCCAGAATATCCACAAAGTAAGTTGTTGAAGAGATACTACAAGTATTGGTTCATACTAACTAAAGCCTCATGTATTTCCTGGGGAGCAAACTCTTCACTGGTTTCGTCACCTGCATTTCTTTTTGTTATCATTAGAATGTTATCTTTGGAAATAAAAATGGGTACAATGTAAGCTCAATGAATAGGTTATGAATAGATCAGACTTTAGAAAAGGGGTCTAATCCTTTGTAGTGAGCAGTAAGTCTCTACCATTTACTGACTAAAGCCAGTATAGAATTGGGCACTCTGTTAATCATCCCAATTTTTCTGGATACAGTCTTTGTTAGATGCTCTTTTTTTCTGGTGCTCACTGTATCCCATGTTTACTTCTTAGCAATTATCAATCATGCAATATTTATGCATGTACTTTTCTTCTCTACTAAGCCATTAATTTCAAGGACACAGAGATCATCAGAGACATTTCTGTAGCATTTTGTACAACAATAAATGTGAATATTGGCAAAATAGAGTCAGGAAGCTTCTTACCCAGGCTTGGATGACAGGACCATTTATTGAAATCAGAGACATGGTTGCCTAAACATGAGCTAACTCAGGACAACAGACATGCCAAAGTGGAGTAGGAAGAAGTGGGTCCCCAGCCCTATACAAAAGAACTAATGAATGCTGATAACAGGAGAAATAGTCTTCCCCAGGGAAGAACACATCAATTCGTTATCCAATAACAAATGGTCATCCCTGAAAACACATATCCAAGTAAAATTATACGGGCTGATCTGGTCGTATTTGTATATTTAGGAATATACAAATGTGTGTATATATGTAAGAGAGAGGGGGGTAGAGGGGGGAGAGGGAGAGGGAGAGGGAGAAGGAGAGGGATAGGGAGAGGGAGAAGGAGAAGGATAGGGAGAGGGAGAGGGAGGAGAGGAGAGAGAACAATTAAAAAGAGGCCAAGAATTAGAGAGAGATCAGGGGGATCATGGGAGGGATTGGAGGAAAGGAAGGGAAGGGGAAATGATGTAATTATAATTTCAATAAGTCAGTCCTAACTATGTGGAATATATAGATATAGAAAGACAAACAGAAAAGACAGAGATAGGCTAGAGAGACCCTTTAAGAACATCTCTGAGAGATGGCTCAGAGGTTAAGAGCACCGACTGCTCTTCTGGAGGTCCTGAGTTCAATTCCCAGCAACCACATGGTGGCTCACAGCCATCCGTTATAAGATCTGGTGCCCTCTGTTAGTGTGCAGATGTACATGGAAGCAGAATGTTGTATACATAATAAATAAATAAAAATCTAAAAGAAAAAAGAACTTAGAAATAGGTTGTCGCCGGGCAGTGGTGACGCATGCCTTTAATCTCAGCACTTGGGAGGCAGAGGTAGGTGGATCTCTGTGAGTTCGAGACTAGCCTGGTCTACAAGAGCTAGTTCCAGGACAGCCTCCAAAGCCACAGAGAAACCCTGTCTCAAAAACCAAAAAAAAAAAAAAAGAAAGAAATAGGTTGTCAAGAACCATAGAGAGTAAGGGTAGGAACACATGTATTGGGAACCGAAGAGAGAATTCTAAGTCTGGGACACTTATTGTAGTATCCCATTCAGAAAACCCTATGAACCCCACTAAGTCTCAGATAGATTACCATTGTCAAACATTTATGTTATTTTAAAATACATTCTTTTAACAGATATGTGTTGAATACTTACAATGTTTTAGATGGCTAAGGATACAAGAATTCTTGAAGAGCTCAATGTCTTTTAGAGGGCAGGAATGGGTTTGATGGGAATAAAGGTGATGGATGGCTTTAAGAATAGAGTGTTTTCCAGACATAGCAGGGTAACTGAACTCACATATGTAAGTGAGCTCACGTATGAACTCACAGCAGCTCTGACAGTATGCACAAGGCCTGCATAAGCTCAAGAGGGATAGAATCCCAGCATGGAGAGGGGAGGTGGACACAAAGTCCCACCCCTAGCCGAGGAGCTACTGGCAATGGGTAATGACAGGGAGAAGTCAGTTTTCTTTAAGGGTATGGCCTCGGGTAGATTAGCCAGGTTTCAATGTAAGGCCACATATCTGAGAGTACATGAGTAGCAAAGATTAGACTTGATAATTTAAAAGACAATACATAAAAGGATGGAGTGATCTGGGAGCTATTGGGAGAGGACAGTGAATATAATCAAAATATATTTGTGAAATCCTGAAGGAACTAATATAAATAAGAAATAATAAAATGGCAACAAAATAAGAGCAACAGCAACAAAAAGGGGCAGGTACATGGATGGAACCCAGGAGGCACAGAGGAGAAACATGGAAACAAGAATAGTCTCTTAGATTAGATGATATTTGAATTGAGTATTAAAGTGGGATTTAATAAACTAGACCAAAATGACAATGCATTTTTAAAAAGAAGATTGGAAAAAGCAGTTCTAAGCAGGAAGAAACTGTAAAAAGAAAAGACAGTAGAAAACGAAGTATAGGTGGTTTCAGAACAACAGGTAAGACAACTCCAAAAATTTCAGAGGTTGTTTTCTGACTACTAGAGAAGGTATCTAGAGTAGTCCTTTATGTTGAGGTATCTGAACTAGAAAGGCACCAACAGCTAGTATGGAGGGTACAGATGATGAAGCCTAAACTATGGCAAGGACAGTTTAAGTTTTGCAATGATTCAGTCTTGTATGCCTCACCCAGGCAGTTGGATTGCAGGCACCAAGTTCTTTGCAACTGTTCATCTGACAATGACATGCATAAGAACTAAGGACGCAGATCACCCATCAGTAAGTGAATTAGTACAATACCCAGAAACTCACTTTACCCAGAACCCCCAGTGTCTACACCTATCAATACCCCCCAGAAAATTTTATTATAGTAAACAAACAGCCACCATACTCTTCTAAGCACCAGAGAGGATATAGAAATCAACGAACAAAACACCCACCCAACAAAGATAAGACAATTCAACAAAGATAATTCAGCACCTAGAATTACAATAGTTGAAATCCTGGATGCCTAGACATCAGCATAAAAACATAATAACATTCAGTCTACATTTCCCACAGAGCCCAGCAACCCTATCACAGCAGGCCTTGAGTATTCCACATACCTGAAGCACAAAAGCAAGACCCTAAAACAGACTATATGAATCCGATGGAGGGCCTTAAAGAGAAAAATTATAAATCCCTGAAAAAAATCCAGGGAAACACAGTGGGAAGAAATGAAAAACACGTTCAAGACTTGCAAGTAGAAATATAATCAATAAAGAAAACCCGTCCTTTCCGCCGACTCATCACAGACCAGGTGAGTGACCCCCTGCTTTTACCCAACTCCTGTCCAAAGTGCCATTCACCCAGATCCGCCCAGGCATGTCCCTGCTTGAAATAGACACGCCCAGGCAGGGAGGAGCTCCCAGAATCTGGGTACAGGCCACTCTTCCTTCCGTCCGAGCGACTGATCCGCCAGGAGGTGAGTGATCCACTGCTATTACCCAACTCCCTATCAAAGCCCCATCCATCCCGATCTCCCCGGGCCTGCTCCTGCTTGGGGTAGACCTGCCCAGGCAGTGAGGAACCCCCAGAGCCTGGAAACACCCCACTCTTACTTCCTGTCCCGCCCCCACACAGCCGATCCCTATGGAGGCCTAACTCCTTCAGAGTGAGGAGACTACGAGGAGAGGTAAGACCATCCAGAGCTTCGGACAATGAATTCCTGGCCCACACACACTACAGCATAACAAGAGGAGATAGAGAGATCCTACCTGCACTCACTGGAAAAAGATATGGGAAGAAGACAGAATAAGAATTTGCTCAACAACAGAAAGACCAATATGATACCACCAGAATCTAGGGACTCCACTCCAGCAAGACCTGAAAAGCCCAACATAGTGCATGAAGAAGAGCTGGACCTCAAAAATTATCTCAGCAAGATGATAGAGACCTTCAAAGAGGAAACAAGAAAATCCCTTAAAGTAATAGAAGAAAAAGCAAGCAAAAAATTACACGAAATGGA